AACATGAGAAAGAGGGAAGCTTATCTCAAACGTGAGAGGAAGGTCATTACCCTGATGAGAGGCTCATTCGCTCCACACCTGGTGGGCGAATCCACTCGCGCAGAGAGCCCTGGAAACGCTGACACTGTGACCCTGCTACCCAAGAGGGCCTTCGGGGACGCGCCCCGGATTCTGCAGGCAGTCGCACACTCATGGGCACCTGTACAGAAGCGGAACTTTGCCATCACAAAGGGCGGACATCCCTACAGAGAATCCCTTCCTCCTTCGCGGTTTTCAAAATACTTCTTTAAAACTCTACCATTTGACGTCAGTGTCTATTTGGTCATCCACTTCACAGATGGGGAGAATGAAGCCCTGTGAGGGTGAAGGGCTCACGCTGAGGGGGCACGGGCCTGACACCAAGCGCCATGCTGCCCGGGATACTTGTCCATAACTGCCTCCCCCACATCAGCAGCTCCTTATTCAAAGGGGCATGTTCGTAGGTCCAAAACCTAGTGTGACGATGCCATCGGGAGAGACCCCTTTTACTCATTTATTCATTGTTTTTTATAAATCATTTTATTGGGGGCTCTTACAGCTCTTGTCACACTCCATACATCCATTGCATCAAGCACATTTGTACATATGTTGCCATCATCGTCGAATTTCTGCTTGAGGCCTTGGTATCAGCTCCTCTCCTTTCCCTCCCTCCCTCGCCTCCCACCGCCGTGACTCCTTGATAAATTATAAATTATTATTATTTTCATATCTTACACCGTCCGCAGTCTCCCTTCACCCACGTTTCTGTTGCTCATCCCCCTCGGGGGTGGGAGGCACTATACGTCGATCATTGTGATCAGTGTCCTCTTTATCTCCCTTCTCCCCCCACTTTCCCTCCACCCTCCTGGTATCGCTACACCCATTATTGTTCCTGAGGAGTTTACCTATCCTGGATTTCGTGTGTCCAGAACTCTTAACTGGACCAGTGCACATGCTCCAGTCTAGCCGGATTTATAAGGTAGAACTGGGGTCATGAATAGTGATGGGGAGGAAGTATTAAAGAGCTAGCGGAGTGTTGTGTGTTTCATCGGTGCTATACTGCACCCCGAGAGCCCTGTTTTAAAGGACCCCAAAGAGAACGTAGGTGGAACTCACCTCCTGTGCAAACGACTCTGCTCTCTGCCGAAGGTCCTTTTCCAATTCCAAGTTTACTTGCATCTCCTCGTATTCTTCTACTGCCAGCATGGACACTTGGAGGGCACGGAAGGGAACACAGGCCATACGTCACACAAATTACCGGGGAGCGAGATGGAAAAATCATGTCTGAAAGATGCTTCACACCCTCATCCATGATGATTGGAATATAAAGTGATTTTAAAAACCTTCTGAGAAGACAACCTCTGGCAATCAAAACTTGAAAATTATGCATCCCCTGTGAGATGCGAAGGCCCCGCTCCTAGGAGTGTAAATGCTAAAGCAACAAATCATGAACCTCTCCAGAGACAGGACTGCAAGGATGTTCTCTGCATCCTGGATGACAACATCGCAGTACCGGTCGCCAGTCTACCACTGGCCGATCAGGAAACGCTGCGATATGCAAGGGACACTCCAAGTACACACCTGCTCCAATGTGAATGAGCATGTTTAGTGGCAAGACACTGACGTCATACTAAAAAAAACAAAACGGAAATTAAGTTGCAAAAAGGAGTCCTCTTTGTGTTGTTGTTTTAAAAGCCATCAAAACACAAGCAGCACAACCCGGCATTTCACAGAGGAGGAGGGCCTGGGATGGGCCAGGCCCATCGGCACAGGGAAAGATGCTCGTCTTCACTGGGAAGGGGAGGAATCCAGACTCGATCACAAAGAGTGATGTTTGACAGCCACCAACAATACAGGGACCAGGACGTGTGGCCGAATCAAGTGCAACAGAGGGAGGATGCCAGACCGTGGGGCTCACGACACCGGCAGGCTGGTCAACCAGCAGGCTGACTGAAAGGCATGCGGTAAACCTGAAAATACAATTTCCCATCCACCCCTACATCTTAGTAGATGTGGGAACTCATAGATAAGGAACCCCAGGAAACGGGAATGCGAATGTTCACGACAGCATGACTTTGAATAGCAAACAGGAACTGGAACCGACCAAACCGCCCACCACGAGGGCAACAGCTCATGAACCGTCATCTCATGGATCATACTCCCCAAGTCACGGTCACTGCCGGCTAGTGGAGGCCCACTCACAGTGACCTGAGGGGACAGCGTGGAGCGGCCCTGTAGTTACTGAGACTGTAACTGTTCACAGGAGCCGAAGGCCCGTCTCTCTCCCACAGAACAGGTCACAGCAGTGAAAGTGACCATACCGCAGCAGCACCCTTCACCCCGAATAAATGTGTCACAATTAAAAAAAACAAAAGTAAGTTTCATTAGAATATATGGACACTGACTCCTTTTCTATGAAGCTCCAAAACACACAAAATAAACAACATGCCATTGGAGACAAATATGTATTGGGCAGAACTAAGCAAAAGAGAGGGGCTGATTTAAAAAAACAAATCCCAGGGAGGGCTGTGGGTACTTGAGGCTTCTAAGGTACCAGCAGCAGGCAGAGAAATACTTTTTTTCCTGGCATCCTTTGTCGTGTATATCTATAATTTAATGTCTAAACAGGCATTTTTATTTTTAAAGACTGCAAGGACGGACACTCATAGTCACAGCGCTTATCGAGTTAGATTGGTTTTTTTAAATTTTCCCCTGTGACTTTTCTAAATTTCTCAAGTCCAAAATATTCTCAAAGTTTGAAAACAAAGGGCCTGGTCTTTTCACATGTTCTGCGTGTGTACACGGAAGAGGAAGAGTGACGGAGCCCTTCAGGTGCAAAGGGCTGGAGCTAAAGCCCCTCCGTGGGAGAGAAACCTTCAAAGAGACAGTTCCACTGTGGACTACGAGCAGCATGGCCTCTCTGTGACGTGGGCCATCCCCTGGTCTGTTCTGGCAAACAGTGATGTGGACAGACCAGAGGGAGTAACAATGCTATTGGCAATCAGGCACAGCACAGGTAGGCATCACACGGGTCTCTCCATCAGCTTGTAGAGAGGCACCTCCCACCCTGAGCGGAGTCCTGTCAGTAAAACCTTTACAAAGACTCCCTTCCTGGCTGCTCTCCTGAGCTGGCCCACCAGACCACTTCAACCCGAACTAATTGGCTAAGGGCTGGTTTCCTGTCTAATGACATAGAATTTCAAATGCCATCCTCCGTAAATCTACTGCCTCCTCACACGAAAGACTTTGATAGACTTAACTCAAGGAAAGCCGTGTAAGTGATGGTTTGGGTTGTAAATGATTGGCCCCTGTGAATTAAAATGATTTTCAGCCCTATTTAAAAAAAAAAAGGAATCCCATGAAGGAAAACAAAGACAACGTTGACTAGCTGAATCCTCGGTGGAAAACGGACTCTCTTGTCTGCGTCCGGACCATGATAATAATGAAGTAAATTTTCACATGACCTGCGTCCTGATGACCCAGTCTAAAGGAAGTTAGGTTGACCTTACTCGTGCATCTATATCTACAACTTCTCCCTTGTCCTAGGCAGGGGGCCTTCTGAAGACAAGAGTCCATGATTAACCTCTGTAGAATCTAGTTTGGGGTACAGCACATCAAAATCAGCATTCTCCAGCATCAGCTCTACCCTCTTCAATGAAGGAAGAGTTGAGAAAATGATACAATCTGGAACACATCCTCCACCGTGAGCCACAAAGTCCTTTATTAATTTTTTCTTTAAATCCAGCTCATTAAGGACACAAAAGCTGAGAACCACCACCCAGCGCAACATGGAAGGCCCTGCGTCTAAAGGACTTCCTGACCTAGGAGGTCAGAGAGTGCTACTAAAACCCAGTCCATTCTTCAGTGGCCGGAGGACAAAGAAGCAGGGTAAAGCATACGGAGGCCCCTTACTTAGACTCGCTGTTGCAGAAATGCACTTGGGCATCATTCCCTGGGGCTGAAAGGAAGAAAAACAACCCTATGCTGTTTCGTGACTTAAAAAAAATAGTCAGATTATGTCTTACTCTGTAACAGCGTATTCTCTAAGGGTAGTGCCATGGGAGAAGTGTTTCTATCACTTGGGTACCAAGCCCCCTCCAGTACCGTGTCTCCTGACCAATGAGTGTATTTCCGTGGGAGTCACAGACTCCATCGGGACTCTTGTGGCATCGGCCCCGGGCAGCTCAGAGCCAGATTTCAGGCGCATCAGAAAATAACCTTAGACCAAGCACAGACCTCGTGTATCAATCTACTCGCTCAATGTCCACATCGTCTTAGCATTTTATCATACGGTGCTGCATCTGCTTATGGAAACATCCTAACCTCTTCTGGATGGAGAGGCTCTGAGTACCAAGCATATCAACCGTAAGCATAGTCCATACAGCCGTGGTCACAGGACAAAAGCAGTGCTGCGTTTTGAAGTTTCAAAAAGGTCTCAAGTTCCTCAAATGAAAGCACTTTCAAACATCCCCCGTGTCAAGATGCATCATTACACTAATAACTAGGAGAGACCGGAGGCTAGATGGTCGGATAACAAGGTAAGAGAAGCTCCTTGTTGCAAGATCTAGGCACTGGCCTACAATACAAAATGCACATACACAACAAACAAGTCGCATATGTGTTTGTGGGGAAAGAAAAGGCGGAAAGACATACCTCTATTGCATTTGTCTAGGACTTTTCTCTGCTTAAGGACTTCTGAATTTAAAGCACCTTTTTCTTGTTTGACTTTATTTACCTAAGGATGGGAACATTCAAAGAGGGGGGAAAAACACCCAGCATTATAAAACATGGCCCAGAGCAATACGTGGTCATCAAATCACTGCTCAGCTTTCAACACAGTCACAAATTAAAATGGAAATTGGAGTCACCCTTTCAGCCGTTTGTTAAAAGTTCGACTCAGAGCTGCAGCGGTAGCTGTTTGAGATAAGATGTAACGCTTGGTACAGAAATTATTCTCATATCCCAAGGGTCACTGACATCAGTCCCTAACCATGGCAGTGTCCTAACCAACCCACGTAACTATATTTTGCTGGTGCCCCACCCCCCGGCCCAGAAAGGCTTGTGTCCTCTTGCCCATCATCCGGGATAAAGTGCAGGTATCTGCTTCTGCAGCCCTGCTGGATCATTCCAGAGCCCCCCCTAACCCCCTTGGGGGTGGTATCAGCCACTTTGGGAAACATTGATGTAGAATATTGTCTCTGTGGACTATGTTGACCTTGGAAACCCCAGTTGACCTTGGTTTCCCCCTAGACTATGGCCCTGAGGCCCCAGGTCCAGTGAATCATTCTCTCAAGGTGTTTGATCAGTGTCATAATTTCACACACCCCTACCCCAACCATGTTCTCCTATGTTCACGATTGCCACTTTACTGGAAAGATCCAAACAGAGATCCCCACTTGCCTCCTTTCGTCAGATTTAAGTTAAATTGAGACGGCAAAGGCAGATCCTTAATTGAAGCCTTGTGCAAAGGGATGGATGCCATGATACATTCTTACTCTAAAAAGACTTCTCCAAACTTGAGCCCATTCTACTATCGACCGTACTTGCCCATGCTGAAGGGGCGCAGTCCTGCCCACGGAACCAGCCATTTGCTGGAGAAGCAAAGTACTTTTTCTTCCCCTCCAAGAACAAAGTGTAGGACCTGAAATAGCCGCTACCATTTTTTGTAGAGCTGTCTCACATGGTTAAAAACTGCCACGGGGGCGGGGCACACCTGAGGGTTACTTTAATGACTTACCTGTAAGTCTAGAGCAGTGGTTCTCAACCTTCCTAATGCTGCAACCATTTAATACAGTTCCTCAGGTTGTGCTGACACCCCAACCATAAAAATTATTTTCGTTGCCACTTCATAACTATAATTTTGCTACTGTTATGAATCGGCGGCCCCTTTGAAAGGGTCGTTCGACCCCCCCAAATGGGTCACGACCCACAGGTTGAGAACTGCTGGTCTAGAGAGCGGGCTACGTAAATGTTCTTGGTTTTATTCTCTGTACTTGCTAGTTTGGGGGTGTGGGGGTAGGTTTCAAAAGGTTCATAGGGGAAAAAAAAAATCTCTTTTCTGCTAATCCAATTTCCCATGAATGTTTGAAGCCCCCTCATTTTGCTGAAGCAGGCGGGAAGGGAAGAGGCAAATGGGCTACGGGCTCATGGTCTTCCTCTCAGAAACCACACAGCTTCCGAGGGCAACTCTGTGACATCGCCGTCTCCCGACAGCGCCCACACACCCAAAGTCTTGCCCCCAGGCCACGGTACCTACTTCTTCCATGACTTCTCCGAGTTGGCTCTTGAGACTTTCCAGCTCAATGGCTAATGTCTTCTTTTCCTCCTGAACAGATAACATTTGGTCCTGAAGTGCTGTGTTTTAAAGAAACAATACGAGGGAGGGAGGGGAGTCAGCACAGGAGAAATAAGTCTATCTGTAAAAAGAAGAAATCAACCTGGTCGAGAGACTTTCAACTGCCGGTCCCATGGACAGCTCAGGGTCAACACTGTTTAATAATCAAAGTGAAACGAAGACGCACACATCCGGAGGACCACGTCCCGCCACTATCAGCCAGCCGGTTTCTAGCAGGTAATCTCATGGCACGCAGCGCTGGTCTGGTTTCCTGCGTATTCTCTCAGACCCAGGCTTAGAAAGCAACCTGGCATTTTGGAGGTTGATTTTCAAAACGTCTTTCAGGAATACAAATTAAAGCCCTGGACTAATTTCTTTATTATTTCATATTGGCCACGGGTTCTTGTCACAATACAATATAAACAAACAACCGGGCAGTTAATAATTTAGAGATTTTGATTTGGAGGAAAAAAAACCTGATTTGCTGCCAATTTATAGCCCTTTAAACATTACGTGAACTGACTCAAAACATAACTTATTTGAAAGAAGGGTTAATGCTAGTAATTTTCTCTGCAGAATTGTGGGTGTTTTGTTTCTTAATTTATTTAATATTTTTTATGATTGGGATTTAATGAAAACCATGTTACTAGAATGAGAATATTAGCAACTGCGAGCGCACACGCTTCTGGTGTCAGATTAAATTTATTTCTACCATTCAAATGCTCAAAAATATACATGGATTAAAGGAGTACTGCAGTTATGCCCAGGCTGACCGCTTTGCCGCTTGGCTTGTAATAGCTTTTAATTTCTTTCCCTTCTCCCGGGGCAATAAGAAACCTGCTATGTGCTTACTTAAAAATTAAATCCAACTTTTAATAGGAACCCAGCTTGATGTTCTCAGAGACTTCTTTCTAAATCACCTTCTCCGCCGGCTGGATAATCCTGAGTAGGAACAAGATGCCAGAGTGTTCGAGACCTAACAGATGGGGGAGTTCTGGGCAAAAGGACATCCTCTAGCTTGGGCTCCTTCCCCACCATGCTCCTTGGACTTCGCGAAGGGTGGAAGGAGCCCCAGGGTACAGTGCTTACGTGCTCGGTGGCTAACCAGAAGGTCAGTGGTTTGGACCCACCGCCCACTCCATGGAGGAGGATATGGCAGATCTACTCTGTCCTCCAGGGCTGCTTTGATTTGGAATGTATGCCGCAGCAACGGGCTTAGGGAAAAGGAGGGCTAGGTACAGATGGGGCTTACAACCCTTCATTTCCCCTTTATCCTTCCAACTGAGATTCAATCTGCCGAATGGGGAGGTCTACTTTTTGTTCTAGTTACTAAGTTCAATTGTTCCAGTAGTTACTAAGCCAGTAACTAGTTATTGGTTATAGTCATTGCTTTCCTACATCTTTAAGATAATCAATGGAGACACACATATATGTGCACATGAATAAGATGAATGAGTACTCAATAGCCGTATTAGGTCATCTTGTGTTCCAGCACTACCGACTGGCCAGCACTGTGGCTCAACACTGCATCTTCCTTAGAGGTTATGGTCTGAGCCTCAGAGGTCACGGTCTGAGCCAGAGGGCCTTCCTCTGAGGGCAGAAACGCTGCCAACTGGGAAGGACTCCTCCCCAAAGCTTCCACTAAGGAGCTGGACAGACAGGAGGTATTCGGTCAACAATACGGTTTTATTCATTCATCCTTTCATGTAACCAAAACCTCTCTGCACACAGCCCTCGTGCCTAAGAAGTTTATAGTCTAACCAGCTTTTTCTGTCAACATGAAGCTCTCAAAAATGTCTAAACCCAAAGGAAAAAGTAATGGATGGAACACAGACGCTATAACCCACCATGATGATTCTCAACCAAGCTGCATCCTGGGTCGATTGGATCAGAATGTCTGGGGGCTAGGACCAGGGATCTAGGATTTCTTTAACGTCCACACATGATTCCAATGTACACCCAGGGTTGAGAAACACACCCTGTCCCAACGGGAGTCGGACATGTGTTCGGTCATTAATACAGGAGTCCCACCTTTGATTTGCTTCTGGCACTGAACGGAGACACAAGTCTCGCCAGCCCCCTCGGTGCCCGCAGCCGAGTCCTCGTCGTCGATGTTTATCTCCTCGGTGATCACATCTGGCCCCAGCTTGGCCATGTATAACATGCTGATCCGTTTCAATGTCTTATTTTCTTTATTGAGCTACAGCAAAATTTAAAGACAGTTATTTTAACGCCAGTGCCTTGGATTTTGAAACAACAGACAAGTGCATTTTTGTCTTACATATCCATCGCCATGCACAGCAGGAAATAGCAATCAGCAAACTTGTTAACGTGAGGTTCTGTTTACACTTTTTAACATTAAACTTACTCTCTTTACTTCAGACCTGATACCCGGGTCACAACCAGTAGCCTGTGAAAACCCTAGTTAGAACTGATAAGAGATACCAGGGGAATTAAGAGAAAGCAGACCATTGTAGATTAAATCAAATTTCAATTCAGAAACAGTCACGAACAGTCTCCATAAAGGGGCTTTATTTCAAGCAAATGGTTTGTCTCACAGTCGCTCTGAACACCTTTGAACTAGTCCTTGGCCACCACCCCCTCTTCTCTGGACACTGCCACGGCTCTTCATCTTCGACTTGATTTCTAACGCAACTAACCGCGCATCCCAAAGTCTATCCCACCTCTCTGGCCACAGCTAACGAATCTGGAGATTAGCACTTGATCCAGCCTTGCCCAATGAGATCCCGTCTCTAGGAATGCGGAGGCTGAACAAGAGAGAGTCTGTGCCTGGATGGACAGAAGCTGATGACCAGTGGCATTCTACCACTGAGCTGAGGATGGGGAAGTCAGCTACCGAGAAGCCAACGATGGAGCTGATGGGTGTGCATACAGAGGCCGAGAAGAACCATCGAGAGAGGGCTTGCACTGGTTCAGGTCCATTCCTGGACTGTTCTGAGCCTATAAAGAGATCCTAAGAGAGTGTGTTGTTAAGTGCCCTCGAGTTGATTCCAACTCACAGTGACCTTACGCACAACCAAATGTAACACTGCCCGGCCCTGAGCCATCCTCATGATGGTTCTTCTGTGGAAGCCCTCGGTGCCAATCCATCTCCCTGCAGGCCTTCCTTTCTGCGGCCCTTCGACTTTACCAGGGAGTCTGTATCACTAGCTAATAGAGCCTCGCCTTCTTTCTTTGTTTTTTCACTTGAGCAAGTTCAAGATGTGTTTCTACTATCTCTATAAAGTAAAAAACCCAAACCTTTGTCAGTTCTGACTCATCTAGAGACCCGATAGACCAGTAGTTCTCAACTTGTGGGTCGCGACCCCTTTGGGGAAGGGGGGTGGTGTCGAATGACCCTTTCACAGGGGTCTCCCGATTCATCACAGTAGCAAAATGACAGTGATGAAGTAGCAAGGAAAATAATTTTACGGTTGGGGGGTCGCCATGAAAGGGTGGCGGCATGAGGAAGGTTGAGGACCACTGCTCTAGACAGAGTAGGACTGCCCCACAGGGTTTCCAGGGCTGAAAGAGTGCCATGTCCATCTCCCTCCAGGTAGCAGCTGAGGGCATCCCCGCTGCCCTGCTCGCCACAAAGCGTTCAAATTCCCGGTAGAAAAAAGAAGAGAGGACTCCTAGTTCCTTATTCACTGCTGCCCGCTGTAGAACTGAGTGGGTCTTTAGCTTGAGTTACTCAATTCTCATCACCTCCCTTAGCTAACGTGTTTTATATGTGTACAAATCTGCATACAGTGAACCCTCGCCACTTC